GCTGTTGATGCCTTTTCTCCCTCAGCAGCCTGAATAACAACATCTGACACTATAAAAGCTTCCAACTCAGTTCCAGCTTGAATTCTCTATATCACATATCCAAGATGTGTGGTGTCTTCAGCAATAAGGTCTTATTCACTAGTTCTGATGTCGAGCCAAAATGAATGAAATGCACCTGTATTGTTGAGGAAACCTCCGGGACCTCTCTGCCCAACATCGCCTATGGAGATATTCCACACCTGGAACTGGGTTTTGTTATTGAAACTCATTACTTCTAAGATCTCTCATTTCAATCCTTATTCACACAATCCTGACTTATGCTGTTGTGTTCAAATGGTCTCCCTAGTTTTTACTCTACAAGATTTGGTGTATTGGGCCCCATATTAAGGTCTTTGATCATTTAGTTTGTTTTTTAAAGGTGAGATATGGGCATTTAGTTTAGTTCTTCCATGCAGTGCTATCTAGGTTTTCCAGCACCATTTGTTTAACTGGCTGTCTTTTCTCCAAAGTATATTTTGGGTTCTTGGTCAAAGGCCAGGTAGCTATGGCTGTGTGGACTTTTACCCAGATTTCTATTCTACTTTATTGATCTGCACATCTCTTTATGCCAATACCATGCTGTTTTTACTACTATGGCTGCAGCATTGGTTTGAAATCAGGTGTGATGAAGCTTTCCACAAAATTGTTTTTGTTCAGGATTACCTTGGACACCCTATGTCTCTCGTGGTGCCACATGTATTTCAGCATTATTTTCCACACTATCTGTGAAGAATGTTCCTGGCATATTCATTGGGACTGCATTAATTATGTAGTGTGCTTTTAATTGGGTGGCTATTTTCACAATATTTATTCTTTCAAACAATGAGCATTGGGGGAGGAATGTCTTCTCTTCTTCAAAGTCCCCCTTCAATTTCTTCCATATATATATATGTTTTTCTTATAAAGTGTTTTCATTTCCATAGTTAGGTTTTCTGTCCCAAAACTTTGTATTTTTATTTATTTGTTTGTTGGCTCTTGTAATTCATCCATATTTTAAGCTGACACAGACAAGAGAAAACCAAATAGTGACATTTCTTTGGTGAAGTAAAAAAAAATCTTAGCCTAACACTCACAATGCCAAAACCAAACTCCTCTAATCACTATCTCTGGGAATGCCCAGCCCTTGTCAGCTGTCAAACAGTGGTGGTTTCTGCTCCTGAGATGCTAGAAACAGGCTATTGTGGTCAAAGAACTGCCTTTGCTCAGCCTTGACCTGAGGGACTCACATGTGGAGAACTGACCTGGCCCAGCATCAAGCCAGGGTTTGAACCTCACTCCAGCGCTGACTCTGCAGGTGATCTTGGAAAGTGACTTAACTCATTTGAGTCTGACCTTCCTCACCTGTAAACCAGAGATCAGAATTAGTTACTGGTAGGGACTGGAAAGGTTAAATGCTGTTCATCCCCACCTCACAATGTGATCCTTAGCTGATGGGAGCATTGTTGCTGTTTTTCTTTATTAAGCCAAATTCTTCCTCATGATTTTGTTTTGCTCTTTGGAACTCATTAAGACCTACTCCCTTCCCATATTCCAATACTAGAAGATTATAACCATGGACTTCTTGTGTCCCCAGTCTTACATTTTGGTTTTTAAATTCATGTCATTCACTCAATTTCTTCATTAGATTTTCCCGTTTATCTACAAGTCAGGATGCACCAAGATGGTTCAACTAGCATGAAGTGTACAAAATATCATCCTTTTTCACACAAATGCAACCAGGGCTTCCAATACTACAAACTGGGTCCTTGGGCTCACTTCTCTAAACTGTTAGAGCACAGTGAATTTAAGGTCTTTTCAACCCCCTGGGGCTTATTCATGAGCTGAAATTTATTAGCCTCCCCCACTTAGTGCTAAAATTCACTCATTGTTCTCATGTGCTCAGTCTTGCTTCATCTTGATTCTACAATCAAATCAAGAACACATGTTTGTGGCATGTGAGTGTACAAGGTCAAACAAGGACAAGAAATTAGTTTTCTACCCAGGATCGAATGTCACATGATTTAAGCCAGCAAGGGACTTGGTTAGTTCTCCATGAGGAATTCAGTCTAGGATAAAATTGAGGCTGTGGTTATGTGGAAGAAATATCTATTGCTCATTCACATGTCTTCTCTCTCTCTATGATGATCGTCCTCACACCTAGATTCCCTGTGTGAGTAAGGAAATGTTCACTTTCCAGAATATATCAGAATTTCTGTAGTGAACTATTTTGAGAATGAACTATTCTCAAAATCTTAAGCATGGGTGGGAGTGTCACAGAGTGCACTGGGTATTGGTGACAAGCATCACTACAGATGCATCATCTTTCATTTCTTCCAGGTGACCTGAGACCTGTACCGCCCATGATCACTGCAGGCCACAAAGGTCAGTAACAACTATATGAGGCCAGAGAAGCCAATAGTATTGGGCTGATAGATGATCTAATCCTTGAGAGAAGGGCAGTGAGAGGAGGAAGCCTCACTTTCCAAACCTCACCAGGAGAGGTGCACACCCAAGGAAGAGTTCCTGTCATGCCCCTTGCTACTTTCATTGTTGACAATAACTCCACCACTCCCAACCTGAACACCCCACCATGAACCCATCATTCTAGTTAGGCAGAGTGACAGACTAATAACTGGTATCAGGAAGGATGTAGGTTTTATTTCAAATGACCTTCCAGAGGAAGGAGGGAGTCAGGGGTGCAGACGAGGTAAATGAAAATAAAACAAGAAGTGGGCAGCCAGTGGGAGAGCCCATGGAGGGGCCTTTCTTCTCTCAGTACCAGTCTCATCTTCTCCCCTAGATGCCCCTGCCTTGCCACACTTCCTGGACCAGCATCGGGAGCAGCTGGTGGCCCGAGTGACATCAGTGGACTCTCTCTTGGACAAGTTGCATAGTCTAGTGCTGAGTGAAGAGGAGTATGAGGCGGTGCAGGCTAAGGCCACCAACCAAGACAAGATGAGGAAGCTCTTCAGCCTCAGCAGGTCCTGGAGCTGGGACAGTAAAGACCAAGTCTACCGAGCTCTGAAGGAGACCCATCCTTACCTGATCATGGACCTCTATGAGACGTCAAGAAGTGTCTCTGTGAGATCCTGACATCTTAGTGGCTGAGGGATGGGCACTAAAGTGATTCCTGGCTCTGCCTGACTTTTGTTTGGCTACTAAATCTATAAACCAGTGGTCATCTCAGTGGCCTTTCTGATGGCAATGTTTCCAGGACACCTCTTAGGGAACCAGGTGTTCCTTTTTGACCTTCCCCCACAAGATGTTCAAGTGGGATGAGCATCTCAGGAAACTTCCAGTGGAGCCAGCAAGTCTATTCAGGTCTTGTCCAGCCTGCTCTCATGGCCTGAGGGACCAGTCTCAAAACCACCTGACACACCATAATACAAGCAGGACTGGGGCACATGGAAATGGAGACAGTGAGATGGTCCTTTCCCTGGAAATTGAATGTCTAATGAATAGGAAAGGAAGGGGGGCTTCTTAAACATTTCTTACCCTCAAAACCTTTTTCCAAATAATTTTTATGTGACTCTGGATATATAACTATATAAGTATAAAAATCAAACATTTTTACTAAAAATAAATCTTAAAGAAATTTATTATAAACAACACTTTGTTGTAATATAATTTTACCATTTGTTAAAAATTATAGCAAATTTGCAAACTAATGAAATGCCTGTTTTTTTTATTTTTTGCATTTGGAATTAAATCTTGATTGAATATTTGATGCTATAAGACACTGAGAATCTTCAGTGACTCTCAGAGTTGGTAGATACTTTGCATTCCTGGTACTTTACACAGATGTGCAGTGCACATTCCAGAGGCTGGTGAAAATTCTGTCCTCATCACAGGCCAAATTCACTTACCATCTCTTTATGTAACTCAAGTTAGTAACTCCAAACACAAACTTGTAAAACGGAATATTCTCACATAATGCAATGCAAAGATATGCTAACCTGATTATTACATACTAGATAATGAAAATGAGAATATATTTAAATCTTTACATTCCATAATTAAGGTATCATAGTTCTATCAGAACAGAAAATCTCATATGTACAGGGAAAATGCTGTAGTCACAGCAAACAACAGACATCTCAAGATGCGATCAGTGCAGCCTGCACAGCTGTTGTCATTTTACAAACACAGTGTGATGTCACCAAGAGTCTCCTGAACCTGCAGTAAGGTTCAGATCCTTTAATAAGTCTGAAAGGGACAATAAGTATTTAGAAATAGACTTTAAAGTTATCCTTTAATCCAACATGAGCCAGTGCTTTAAGAAAAAAATGTATTTTATATAATGAAAAAGTTTATTGACATGTCTACATCCTTTGTGTTAATGATAATTAAACACAATTATAAGGGTAAAACTCTGAAAACTGAACTTTAAGACATTTGCTCTGATCATGAACATGCACACACATCACACACCTACAGAATAAAACATGTTAATGGAAATTAAATACCATATTTGAGATTTAGGAGAATTTAGGAGTCAAAAAAATTCACAGGGTTTAGCTCCTGAGAGCCACTTCCTGAAATGAAGAGCCTGTGCCCTGGGCAGGCTACAGGGAGGAAAGGGAGTGCAGAGATCCCGAGCACAAACCTGGGGAGATCCAGGAGCTTTTGCTGAACTGGGACCTGTTGGCAAACCTGGGAGGCCCACATTAGTAGATGAGTGAAGTGAGGCTCAGATGTGAGTCCTGCACTCAGGAGGCAGGGCAAGGAAGCTCTCAAGCCTGACTCCTCCTCCAGCCCAGGCATCTGCAGAAAGTTCAAAACAGGAAATGAGCTGAACCATGTTCAACCTCCATTCTCATAGTTCAGAGGAAGAGCATCTGCAGAGTCTCTGGTGCTTGGCTTCCTGGAAGAGCCAGAGTCTCTTTCACTTTCAAAGAAGATGATTTCTAGCTGAGGAGCCTTGGCCAGGGACGCGCACATCAGTGAGCCTCTTACAAGAGCAGGGTGAGTAGTGGGATCAATTGAGTTCACCAAATCATTTGAGTTGTGGGAAGGAAGTCCTGGCCTGACTGCACTAAGGCATACTGTGGCAGACATGGGTGACCCGTCCTGAGAGCCAGGGCCCAGGCTCAGCCCTGCTTGGAAAGTCTGCAGGCCAACCCTGGTGGGAGGGAGGTGGCTGGATTCCCCTGTGTGCTTCATGTGCCTGTTCCTGTTATAGTCTGTCCTGCACCCTCCTCTCTCCTGTCTGACCTGAAGCTGCAGGAACAAGGGTCGTTAATAGTGGGGTATTTAGAGGGAGGACAGGGAGGAGAAACAAAGAAGACAAAAGCGGCAGCTGGGTCCAGCAGGTCTTGCATGAGCCGATTCTTAGGCCAAGCAGGTTTATTAGGAAGTACAGCATCATATATACTATTTGAGGTGTGGTGTGGACAGCCAACCTCAGCACAGAGCTAAGTCAGACATGTGCAAAGAGAGAACAGGATCCCTCGGACACAGCTGCCTTAGGACTGATAACCACAGCCCAGGAGGAAGAGTCAGGTCCCCAGAAGCTACAACTTCATTTCCTCCGAGGCACTGACTCCAGTGTCAGGCTGGCTTGGCCAAGTTCACTCTTAGACACGTCACAGAACTAATGTTCCCTTTGTCCTTTCACCAGGGCCTATGGGAAAGTCTTGGGTCACTCTAACCCCTCCCCACACTCTTGCCCATTTGTCTCTTTGGTTTTCTCTTGGTAATTTGTCCTTTCAGCTTAGTTGGCTCTGGATTGTTCCTCCATGTGGTGCCCAGGGACAAGAGACTTCCAAATTCCTTCACAGGATCTAGCTTGAACTCAGACTGAGCTCTTGAGTCCCCCTCAGTGCTGCATCTCCTCACCTCACCTTCCGTCACAGTAATGTCTGAAGGACTGATCTCCTTATAATAGGACACTAGAAAAGTAAGAAGCTAAGGAACGCAGAATAGTGAGTGTCCTGCACACTCCACCCCTGCATCCTCCATCCCTGTCTTCCTATCCTCTCATGTTCCTGTCGCTGAAATCCCAACACCCCTTTCCTGCATCCCCCAACCCTTCTCCCTTGACTAGCATCCTCTTAGCATGCCAGCTATAAACTCGATATACTGTATCCCTCTATCTTCTTGCTTTCCCATCCCTACATTTCCCACCCTCCATTCTCCAGATGCCCACCTTCCCACTCCTCCCTCTCTATCACTTTCCATGGCTAGGACTGAGCCAAGTCTTTGCTGCTGTGGTTCTCCAAAGTTAGAGGCCTGGATCTCCTGTCTGCTGGTGGTGGAAGAAACTGTGCCCTCCTCCAGGAATAGCGCTGCTTCTGCACCAACAAACCCAAGCTGTTAGAGAGGTCAAAGACTTAATTAAGGAGCAGACAAAGAATCAGTGACAGTCATCTTCCTAAGGACGGCTTTTGTTCCCTCCCACTCTGGCTCCTCCCCTTGGTCTCTCCATTCCTCCTTATCCTCACACTTCCACTTTCCCTGTCCTTTAAAAGATTTACACAAGTTCCTCCTGGATCAAATCACTGCCATCACTAGGTCCACACTAGGACAATGGCTCTCCTAGTTAAGAGCTTACTGGGTCCCCTGTCCTTAGTGTCATCTTACACTGTAGCTCTGACTATTAACTGTTTTCTAAGGTTTCTCCAGAAGTAAATGGTGGTAATCACATGATCCATTGCAGCAGAACAAGTTAAAACTCTTTTCCTGGTTCATGAAGTCACCCTAGCCTACACCCCCTTAAGCCCTAGGTAAGAGACTAGCCCTACCTCCATCACCACCACCCCCACAACACACACACACACACACACACACTGGCAGGAAGCAGCCAATGAGAGAATACATCCCCATTCCTTTTATTTGTCCTCAGTGTCAGATAAATGACCATAATGACCTAAAAGAAGAAACCTTAGACAAGCTGAGAGACCCCGACTCAGCATAACAGCACAACTGCCTGACAGGAACTTCCACTGGCATTATTCATGACACCATAGAGAACACACCACTGCTAAACTCCCTCCCAGAGTTCCCTCATCTGCCCTTTAAAGCCCAAGCCCTGCACCTGGACACACAGTCTCCATCCCCAGGAGAGCCTGGGGTCCTTCAGGTGTCCTGACCAGAGGACAATCGGTCCCTGTAGAGGCTGCTCTGCTCTTCCTTTTAGTTCTAGGTCTCCTGCATCAGTTCCAATCAAACACCCATTTCCAGAGCAGAAATGTCCAGCAAAGACAAGGATCCACTGGCCTGCTCGGAGCAACAAGAGAAGGGAGACGTGAAACAGGACCAGTTGGAGCTGCACAGCCAAGCATCATCTGGGGACTCTATCACCATGGAAGCAGCTCAGCCCAAGAAGGCGAGCGATACAGAGGAGGCTCAGCATAAGGGCCAACAGGACTTGGACCTCATCCGCAAAAGGAGGAAACGGAAGGTCCAGGAGCTGCAGCAGATCAAAGCCCAGGCAGAGAACTTGATAATAGGTAAGTACACCAAGGACCCAACTACCACTACTGTGGCCCTCCTGTCAGGGTTTCCATGGACAGGCTAACCTCCTGTCAAAAGGATTCACAGGCTCGGGAAAGCCTGGAACCAGAAGGCATGCAGAAACCCCTAAGTGAACCTTAGAGCCCCACACCCTCTTCTATAGGAGTGCATCTTCAGGCCCATGGCAAGGAGCACTCTGAGCTGCAGTAGTAGGAAGAGGCTGGCATTGCCCTGAAAGAGGTGAGCACAGGGTTCAAGTTCATTCCCAAAAGGAGTGATTGGTGACACGTAAGTTACAAACCCAGACTTTAGAGCTGACCAGAGGCAGACTCCAGTCCTGATGCTACCAACCTGGACAACACTTTACAGCCCTCTGCCTCCATGTCTCCATCTAGGAAACAGGAGTACGGTAAAAAACCTGTTTCTTAAAAATAGCCAAATGAATGGAAACACATGAACTATGAACCAAAGGCTGAGGGGCCCCCAGCTGGATCAGGCCCTCTGAATAGGTGAGACAGTTGATTAGCTTGATCAGTTTGGGAGGCATCTAGGCAGTGGGACCGAGTCCTGTGCTCATTGCATGAGTTGGCTGTTTGAAACCTGGAGCTTATGCAGGGACACTTGGCTCAGTCTGGGAGGAAGGGACTGGACCTGCCTGGACTGAGTCTACCAGGTTGATCGCAGTCCTCGGGGGAGGACTTGTCCTGGAGGATGTGGGAATGGGGGGTAGGCTGGGGATAAGGGGAGGGTGTGGGAGGGGGGAGAATAGGGGAACCCGTGGCTGATATGTAGAACTGAATGGTATTGTAAATTTATATATATATATATATATATATATATATATATATATATATATATATATATATATCACCTCTATACAAATCACAAAAAAAAAAAACCTGTTTCTTTTGGTTGTGGGAGTAAAGTGAGAATCCACATTGAATATTAAATACTCAATATTCAATAAATATTTGGGTATTGTAAGTACAAACCCATGCACTGCTGCTGCTGTTATTATTGTAGTTTGAAACCCTGTGGGACAGAAGCTCAGAGGCCCACACGAGGGAGCTGAGGCTCACAGAGAAATAGAGACTCCCACAGAGGACTAGAGTAGAACCAGGACAAAGGTGTGAACTTCATGGTCCCAGACCTTTTCTCAGCAGCAACTCTGAGAGCATCATTCTTCCCATGTGACAGTGAAGAAGGTTATGGGGGTAAGAAAGAAGGACTCTAGGCTTGCTCCCCTGGCTCCTACCTCTGTCTTTCTGACAACCACACAACTGTTTTCTTTCCAGAGCCCATTCTTCCCCATTTCAGGCTCCAGGGGGGCACTTAACTTGGAGTCCCTTGTCCAGGGCATCTCAACAGAACTACTGGGCTTAGATCATGAACCCCAGAGTCACTCACAGATTGAAAGAAAAAACTTATTAAATGGGAACCTGAGCAGTTTGTATGCAGAAATAAAAATGAATTAAACTTGGAGATGTGAAAGGAAGTTAAAGTGCACGTAGATAGTGGTTCTTCACAAGTGACCATCCACCTGTATGGGGACCTGAATAAGGGACTGAAATAGAAGGGCAGAGAAGCCATGGTGAGGGCTAAGAGTCACAGACTAGAAAGGTCCCCTCTGGACAATGCAGAGCTGAAGCTGAATTTGACACAAGGAGAAACTGGAAACCATGAGGGTCAGCAGTGAGCCTAGCCCAAAGGCTCCCAGAATTCAGGTCAAAATATGAGTGGACACTGAAGATGCAGGGGAGTCATAGATGTCCTGAAGATCCAAGAAGGCTTCTTCTCCTGAGATGGACCCCAAGAAGAGGGTAGGCTCCAGCTTTAGCATCAGCTATTTTCTTCTGCTGACTTCTCTTATTTAATTCTCACTTACCCAGGCACACCGGTAGAGAGATTTTTCTTTTTTGTTTGTTTGTTTTTGTTTGTTTAGAGACAGGGTTTCTAGTGTAGTTTTGGTGCCTGTCCTGGATCTCGCTCTGTAGACCAGGCTGGCCTCGAACATACAGAGTTCCACCTGGCTCTGCCTCCTGAGTGCTGGGATTAAAGGTGTGCGCCACCATTGCCTGGCGACAGATTTTTCTTTTGGTCACCAGCTCAAATAAAATGACACAGAGACTTACTAATTGTGAAAACTCGACATAGAGCTGAGGCTTGCCCCTACCAGATCTTATAACTTAAATTAACTCATTTATATTAATCTTTGTTTCATGGCTTTTTTCCTCTCTTCCATTTTGCACCTCCTTTTTCATCCCCATGTTCTCTGGCATCTCTCCTGTGCCTAATTCATCTCCTCTTCTTCCTCTTTGTGCAGAATCACTTCCAGCCAAGAAATTGGCAATTCATCTCTGTATTAAACCAATCAGAAGGCACATTGCCAAAGACACATCTTCACACTGTACAAAAATATTATGCCACAATACATACCCTTGCCTCTTCCTCTTCTCAAACATTAAAGTAGCCACCTCTCTCCACTGTACAAGGTCTAGACAGAGAGGTTAACTTGTCCAAGCTCACAATACATAGAGACAGATTCAGTTCTGATATCTATAACACTCAGTGCATGGGACATCAAAGGCACCTCTTTCAACCTAGTGCTACAGTGTGAAAGTCCTGCCTAACCCTGTCTTTCATTTCAAAATTCATTCTTTTTACCCCACATTAAACTTTGAAAATGTTGGCTACAGAGTCAAAAGTCATTGTCCTCAATGGTCACTGATTTCACTTACTGTGTGATTGATAGGATTAAAGCCATTGTATTTAAGGGCATTGTAAAAGGGATTAAACATGCCTCACACAACTTCCCTGTTGTTCCATTTAAAACAATTTCACTCTGTAGCTGGAGAGCTTCTCTCCAGGTTCCACCAAGCCCCCACAGTCCCACAACCCACATATAAAATAATCACTCAGATGTTTTTATTACTTATAAACTGTATGACCATGGCAGGCTTCTTGTTATCTACTTCTTATATCTTAAATTAACCCATTTTTATTAATCTATAAGTTGCCACGTGGCTCGTGACTTACCGGTACCTTACAAGTTGCTTGCCTTGGTGGCGGCTGGCAGGTCTCTCCCTCTGTCTTCCGGTTCCCTCAATTCTCCTTTCTGTTAGTCCCGCCTATACTTCCTGTCTGGCTACTGGCCAATCAGTGTTTTATTTATACAAAGTGATATACATAGCACCACTCCATCCTGAACTGCCATGATTAAATTTCATTGTGAAACAAAACTGTGTTTTAAAGACTCTCATCTACTTCCCTAGCATGCCACTTACTAATCAGCAGTCATTATTTGAAATGTGTACCTCATCCCCCAAGAAACTTTGCAGAATCTCTGTTGCTGGTAGTTTTTTTTTTCTTTTACTCTTTGGCTCCTTGGGAGGCCCACCAACCAGCTCCCAAATAAATCCACATAGTCTTAATCTCACTTATGAGTACGGAACTAAGATTGGCTTGTTTCTAGTTAAATTGTCTTAATTTAAATTGTCCCACCTATCTTTTGCCTCTGGGCTTTTACCTTTTTACATATTTTTCTTTACTAATAACTCCTTGGATTGCTGTGTAGCTCTGTGACTGGCCACTGGAGTCCTCCTCTCCTTCTCCTTTCATGCATCGATATCTTTTATCAGATTTCTTCTATTTATTCTCTCTGCCTACCAAACCTACCTAAACTTTCTCCTGCCTAGCTATCGAACAATTAGCTCTTTATAAGACCAATCATGTGTTTTAGACAGGCAAAATAACACAGGATCACAGAGTTAAACAAATGCAACATAAAAGAATGCAATAGATAATGTGTCTTTAAACAAATATTCCACAGCATAAACAATGCATCATACCTTCAACTAATAACTATATACCAAAACAAATCTCTGTGCCTAGTGGACATATATCCACCTAGAAGTTTTAAATCAAATACTAAGAAACATATTAAGACTTGGACAAAAAGATTACTAACTGGTTGTAGCCATATTCATATAATCCCAAAAGGTGTGAAATTATTTCAGGAAAAAGGTGAGATCAAGGCAAGCCTGAATTGCACAGAAAGATACCATTTATCTCTGTGGGCCAGAAGCTCAGGGACACACATGAGAGAGTTCAGGCTCAGAGAAGAACAGAGACTCACACTTAGGAATGGAGTAGAACAGCATAGGTGTTTGAACCTCATGGCCCCAGAGCAGGAACCTTTTCCAACAGCACCTGTAAGTTCATCATTCTCCTCAGGAGACTGTGGAGAAGGGTGTGAGGGTAAGTAGATAGGACCCTAGCCTTGCTACCCTGACTCCTACTGCTGCTTCTCTGACAATCACAACCACTGTCTTTTCACATGCCCATTTC